CATCCCTACGAAATGAAATGATGCACCATCAGCTTACTTTTTATTATCTATCTAAAATTTGATATGCTGGTAAACCAAATTAAAAAATGGCTTTATCTCTTTCTTGGGAAATTAGAAAAATACATGTCATTGGCGAGAAGAGATACAGATAGGAATTATATTTTCGTTGGCGAAAACGACTTGAGAAATGAAAACAGAGAAAGAACTCGCTGTGAGGGTTAGGATTATGAAAGTCGATCCGTTATAACAGGCAGGTGATCTGGTTTATGTTTTTGCTGAGAAGTGGTCAGAGTAAGAACACCGAAAAGGGAAGAGGAAGAAGTAGAATTTAGCTGCGCCTGTATGGGGTGGTGATGAGAGATGTGAAGTGAAGCCGGTTGGAGTTAAAGGAGGAACAATTCCTGAGAGTAATCCCAAGGAAGGTGGATATTTCTACAAATTTAGAAAGTTGATTAAGAAAGGAGAAATTAATGAAGAGAATAAACTATGCTCTTTCACCTATACACTTTGAAAATTAGATTTGTCATAAAGACAGTTATGAAAGCCCTGGTAAGTGGGCAGAGTTAGAATACTGAGAAGGAAGGAGGAAGAGGCAGAATCTAGCCCTGCTTGTGTGGAGTGGTGCTGTGAGATGGAAAGTGAAGCAGGTTGGAGTTAAGGGAGGAGAAATCCCTGTGAGTACTCCCAAGGAAGGTGGATAATTCTCCAAATTTGGAAAGTTGATTAAGAAAGCAGAAATTTGAGGACTGGAGAATCACCGAATACCTAAAACTCTTTGCCTCCATACTAGTTTTGGGCCGAAGTGCATACAAGCAGATGACTTTTGAAGTTTAGGGATCTTGGGCTGAGAACTCGCATCGAGTGCCTTTAAAATCCATGTCAGCTGCCATCAGATTTCCTGATTCCAAGAACTTTGAACCCAGCTCCTACAGAATTTTAGACAAAGCTCAGTGTCATTATAGAGATTAATGTGAGAAGGGTTCATTATTGTCGTAACAAGAGCTATATAAACCAATTGAAGATTAACCACATGAATTTTCATTTTATTTTTTATTGTGAAGATATTTTCTTCCTTAATATGGCACCTGCCGAGGCTTGAGCCAGTGATGTGATACTACAACCTTTGATCTTCCACTGCTCTGAGATCAAGAACACAGTGTGGCCAGAGTTGTGGATCTGTTATATTCCGTGTTAAGGGAATAAATACTTTAGCACCTGGTGGATACTAGAAGAAAGGTTTATTGTACACAACAAGTACAATATGAAATACGGTACAGTTATAGACACAGGTCAATCTAGTAATGAGTGCCACTAACTGGAAGGTCGGACGTGTTTGCGTCGTCTCGCTCTCACTCTTCCTCGAGTCTCTCGTAGACGGTTGACTTTATAGGTACTTACTACCTATAGTGTTATCATTCATGGGGGGGGGGTTATTCCATTACATCAGGATCAAAGCAGCCAGAGACCGATAACCAGCTTGGACCAGAGTCAGCATTGACCAGTGCAGAATTAGCCCTGTGGTTAAAACGTCGTTCTAAGACCCTGAGAGTCGGAACACTAAACGTGGTTACACTACCGGGTGTAGGCGGTGGCAAGTAGAATATTAGAATATATAGAATATTAGAATATATAGAATATTAGAATTATAGAATAGCGTCCATAGAAATTGAACGAGCAACTTTAAAACATTGAACGACGACATTAAAGGAAGATTTTGCAGCACTTTCAATGGTTAGCACCAGACAGGTAGGTTTGGAGAGGACTGATAAGAGACATTTATAAACTTGCCGAAGATGAGAAATCACGCAGATTTGCTGTGTACGTTTCAGTCGAAAAACTTTGATGATGACCTCTAACTCAAAGCTAACAGTTTTTCCGCGTTATTAATGCGAGCGTCGGACTTTGGATCGTCGGGACATCAGACGTCTCGGATAGTTCCATCAAACAAAGTTCTGAAGAATCCTTTGCATTAGTTGGGAGCTGGGCATCACTAACAACGATGTCCTCTCTCGGGCATCTCTCCCCAGCATCGAGGCTACCATCATTCAACATCGTCTCCACTGGGCGGGTCACGTGTCCAGAATGCGTCCTACTCGACTCCCGCCTGTTTGGGGAACACGCCAGGATCAAGAGGCTATGCGGAGGCCCAAAACGACATCCCTGACATAGGCCAACAGCGAAAGCATTACTGCAAATCAGCCGGTAAAGAGGTGGTTCGAAACTTTCGAGTCCATCCGTCAACATGAAGAGGATTTGCGACGTGTTGTTAAGAGGGCCCGACTGGTCCAGCCGCGTCAACCATCCACACTTCTTTGTGACTCCTGCTCACGATTCTTCATGAGGAGGCCGGACATTTACAACCATTTCTGCTATCGAGGGAAAAAGGGAACAAAGAGAGGGGATGACGATTCCGATGACCGGATGCAAGCTGGTACCGACTACGATTTCTGCTTAGAGATAAAGATTACCAAAAAAAAAAAAAAAAAAAAAATTACGCACTTTGCTCTGATAATAAGAAATGATTGTTTCTAACGTCGTTGATATTCTCTCGTGTTTAATATAAATTATGTTTGAATTTTATGATTTACGTTACAAATGTTTAGAGTCGAAGGTGTAATGAGTTGGTCAGTCAACTTGACACCCCCAAAGTGAGTGGAGGTGGGCAGGCGCGGGAACTGTGATTGGTAGCTGGCTTGTTGGTGTTTTGCATAGGTGAGTTACCAAGCTCTATGTAAAGGGCTGGAATGAGAAGGAGGCCAGTTTTCAGTCTCAGAAGTGGAGACTGCGTCCGTCGCTACAACAGCAGGAGAGAAAGAGACAAAATCATTTATTTTCGTGACACATTCCAACACAAGCTATTTCAACATTTACTTTGTCTCCAGCAAGATGGCGGAAAGACCGTTCGACATAAAACTGATCTCACGAACTGTGAAGCTTTGTGATCTTTAGATCAGGGGGGGCGTGTAATGAGTTGGTCGGTCAACTTGAAACCCCCAAAGTGAGTGGAGGTGGGCAGGCGTGGGAACTGTGATTGGTAGCTGGCTTGCTGGTGTTTTGCATAGGTGAGTTACCAAGCTCTATGTAAAGGGCTGGAATGAGAAGGAGGGTAGTTTTCAGTCTCAGAAGTGGAGACTGCGTCCGTTGCTACGGCAGCAGGAGAGAAAGAGACGAAATCATTTTTTTTTCGTGACACTTTCCAACACAGAAGGCAATCAGGTATATTGACCCAAGAAATCAAAATCAAAGGATTTGATATTAATATCAAAAACATCACAAGTGTTGTATCCTTAAACAACGTCACAAACAGACAAAAGGGGTACCTGAGTGAAAGGAACAGCAACACAGGCTTAGACGAAAGAAACTGAAGTTTATTGTAAAAGAGAATACACCACTGAAAGACAGGGAATCGGTTAGCAAGCTAGTAATTTCCAAAAGAAGGATATCTAGTAGCCGCCCCACTCGGTCAATTGTAGCACAAGACTGCATTTAATGTGGTGTATCCGAGCCTGTAGTTTCGACCAAAAATTCCCCGTATAAAACTGGGCCGGGTAGCTGTTTCCCGAGACGAGACTCTGTCCTTCGACAAAGCCTCGTCTGGGGATCCTCTCTGCCCGGAGGCAGAGAGTTTGACCAACACAGCTGGAGACGAAGTTTCAATTCTAGACTAATTCCTGAAACAAGTCGCCAGGTATATCCTGTGCTTACTATATATATCGACTGATATAGTCAGTCCACATATCCTATAGGGAGTGTGTGACATTTCATTACAACAAAATGTTAATGGCTTTGGCGACAGACAGAAAACGTTATGGAAATGATTTAGCCTTATGAATATGAACGCATTCAGACTGTACGTATAAATCTAAAACACATAGAAGAATAATAATATTAAGGGAAATAAAAACCTAGAACAACTACAGTATACAGATTGAACAGGGACGTTAAATGAACTATCAATAAAATTCCATCATTCGTCGTAAAAGCTTTCAAAATCTTGAAAGACATGCAATACTTTTGTTAGTAAAAGATAGGGATGTTTGACGAGAACTGATAAAAGATATTTAAAAAGTTGCTGAAGATGGAAAATCACACTGATTCGCTGTGTGCCATCAAGTCGAAACGACTGTGATGGCGATCACTAATTTAAAATTTGAAAACTTAAAGATTTTTCAGCAATTTATTTCTTTGGTAACAAAGAAAAGAATACTGAGGTGTTATTGACATCTGTCCTTCTTTACGGCAGCGAATGTTGGACGATTTTCTCAAAGATGAAGAAGAGACTCGAGGCGACAGTGATGTGGTTCTGCAGAAGGATGCTAAGGATATTATGGACCGTACGTGTGAGCAACGATGAGGTCTTAATGAAGATGAAAACAAGGAGCAGGCTTATACATAACATCAGATAGAGGCAACTGAAGTTTCTGGGATACATAATGGGGAAGGAAGGCCTGGAGAATCTGATACTCACAGGTTGAATAGAGGGAAAGAGAGATAAGGGAAAAATGCATGACATAACTAGCGGCCTTAAGCAAGCAGATGAAATAAGGTGCGAGGGGAAGCAGAGGGAAGGAACTTGTTGAGAGCTGCAAGAGATAGAGGGAAATGGAGAGCCACGATCGCCTACGCCCTGAAGGGACATGGCACATAAAAAGAAAGTAAGAAAAGCCACCAATTGCACATAACTATTTTACCATCGAGACATTTAATGATAAAGAACTTGTGCAAAAAAGAAAGAAAACCAGGAACTGGCTCGTGATTTATAGATTATAACACATGTATGGCGTCTCCAAGAAACCAAAATCAAAGACGAATTGATATTTAATATCAGAATCAGGAAACACCAGTTAATAACTTTAAAAAACAATAATAAATATTATGGAAATGCTTTTGTCATCAATTCCCTATCGAGGAATAACATATATAAATATTGGAACCCCGTCTTCCGATTAACAATTCCGAGGAATTATCCATTACACCAACGGCATATTGTGGCTTAGTGCAGCTGGTGTTCCCAAGTAGTCAACTAACAAAGTATTGACCAGGCTTGGCGTTGCTTAACTTCGGTGATCGTACGTAAACCGGTGTTTAATCGTGATAAGGCCGTGAGCCATGTGAATATAAATGCATTCAGAATGAACGTATAAATCTTAAAACATAGAAGATTATTATTATTATAAAGGGAAAGGAAGGTCTGGAGAGAAACAATTTTTTTCTTACTAATGTGCACGCAATACAAGGCCCGAGGGAAACTTAAAGTAGAGGATTATTGCGTGGAGTTGTATCAGAGTAAGAAAAGAAAGTTGACAGGAAAGAAAATTCTATCATTCGCCGTAAAAGCTTTGAAGACTTTGGAAGGCCTGTAGTACTTTCAAGACAAGGAAGTTTTGGAGAGGACTGATTTGAATTCTTACTAATATCGAGTCAATACAAGGCCCACGGCCAATTAAAGTAGAGGGTTATTGTGTGGAGTTGTATACGCGCAAGAAATGGCAAGTTAACAGGAAAGAAAATTCCATATTCCGCCGTAAAATGTTTGAAGACTTTCGAAGGCCTGCGGTATTTTCTAGACAAGGAAGGTTTGGAGAGGACTGAATGTTTTTCTTGCAAATGTCCACCGAATACAAAGCCCACGGCCAATGAAAGTAGAGGATTATTTTGTGGGGTTGTATCAGCGTAAGAAAGGGCAAGTTAAGAGGAAAGAAAATTCTGTCATTCCTTGTAAAAGCTTTGAAGAATTTGGAAGGCGTGCAGTACTTTCAAGACAAGAAAGGTTTGGAGAGGACTGATAATTTTCTTACTAATGACCACCAAACACAAAGTCCACGGCCAATTAAGTAGAGGATTATTGTTAGGCGTTTTATCAGCGTAAGAAAGGGCAAGTTAACAGGAAAGAAAATTACATTCATTCGCCGTAATATCTTTGAAGCCTTTCGAAGGCATGCAGTACTTTCAAGACAAGGAAGGGTTGGAAAGAACTGAATATTTTTCTTGCAAATGTCCACCCAATACAAGGCCCATCGCAAGTTAAAGTAGAGGATTACTGTGTGGAGTTGCATCAGCGTAAGAAAAGGGAAGTTAATAGGAACGAAAATTCCATCATTCGTTGTAAAAGCTTTGAAGATTTTGAAAGGCCTGCAGTAAATTTATGACAATGAAGGTTGAGAGAGGACTGTTTTTTTTTCTTCTTACAAATGTCCACACAATGCAAGGCTAAAAGCCAATTAAAGTAAAGGTTTATTGTGTGGAGTTGTATCAGCGCAAGAAAAGGCAATTTAACAAGAAAGAAAATTACCTCATTCGCCGTAAAACCTTCGAAACTTTGGAAGGTGTCCAGTACATTCAAGACAAGGAAGTTTGGAAGAAGCTTGATATTTTTCTTACTAATGTCCACCCAATAAAAGGCCCACTGCCTTATGACAATGAAGGTTGAGAGAGGAATGATTTTTTTCTTAAAAATGTTCACATAATACAAGGCAAAAAACCAATTAAAATAGAAGGTTATTGCGTGCAGTTGTATCAGCGTAAGAAAAGGCAAGTTAACAGGAAATAAAATTCCATCATTCGCTGTAAAAGCTTTGAAGACTTTGGAAGACCTGCAGTAATTTCATGACAATGAAGGTTTAGAGAGGACTTATATTACTTAATAATGTCCACACAATACAAGGCTAAAAACCAATTAAACTATTGTGTAGAGTTGTATCAGCGTATGAAAGGGCAAGTTAACAGGAAAGAAAATTACATCATTGGCCGTAAACGTTTTGAAAATTTGGAAGGCGTGCAGTACATTCAAAGGTGTTATGGTCCGGTTCCTTGTACCACGGTGATAGTCCAAGGTAGAACCAATAAAGAAGAACTCGAACACGTATATGGAATAACACAGATATATTACAAACAGGAATATATACAGAGAAGTAGAAAGTGTTAGTACGAACAAACAGGTTTAGTAGAGAGAACAATGTAGTCTCGAACAGTATCACTATTCCAATGTCTTGTAGCAGTTGTCTGAACGCGACTCTGTTTCGGAATGCCTCTGACTCGACTGACTGACTGACAGACAGACTCCTGACGGACCTCACTCCAGACTTCAGACTGAACTCCCTGCTTCCTTTTGAGGCGCAGTATTTATTCCGTATGGAATAGTCCATTATGTTATTATGGGTAAGGTCCCATAACAAAAGGGTAAGTTAGAAGAAAGAAAATTCCATATTTCGCCGTAAAGTTTTGAATAATTTGGAAGGTTTCTAGACAAGGAAGGTTTGGAGAAGGTTGATATTATTCTTACTAATGTCTTCCCAATACAAGGCCCAAGGCCAATTGAGATAGAGGATTATTGTGTGCAGTTGTATCAGCGTAAGAAAGGACAACTTAAGAGGAAAGAGAATTTCATATTTCGCCGTAAAAGATTTGAATAATTTGGGAGGCCTGCAGTATTTTCGAGACAAGGAAGGTTTGGTGAAGATTGAATTTTCTTACTAATGTCGAAACAATAAAAGGCCTACTGCCAATTAAAGTAGAGTTTTATTGTGTGGAGTTGTATCAGCATAAGAAAGGGAATCTAATTCCATATTTCAAAGTAAAAGATTTGAAGAGGTTGGGAGGTGTTATAGTGGAACACACCTATTCTATAGTTAATAGCCTCTCCCACCTATAATAACTAGGAGTAATAAGAGTAACGGGGGGTCGGTGAGTCAGTCGATGTCGGACGACAGTTAGTCGAATACTAAAATATCAGCGACCACAACAAGATTACTCTGCGAAATACCCATTATATCAAGTTTCTAACGTTTTGTACGTCGAACCTATTTTAGGACCGACTTAGTACAAATACAAGCCTCCACTGTGAAATCATTCCACAACAGAAGGCCTTCAGTAATTTCAAGACAAGTAAGGTTTGGAGAAGATTGATATTTTTCTTAATAATGTCCACCCAATACAAGGCGGAATTAAAGTAGAGGTTTATTGTGTGGAATTCTATACGCGAAAAAAAACGGTAAGTTAACAGAAAAGAAAATTAAATATTTCGCCGTAAAAGTTTTGGGGAGATTGGAAGGCCTGCAGGAATTCAAGAGAAGGAAGCTTTGGAGAAGCTTGATAATTTCCATAATTTCCATAATTTCCATAATTTCCATAATAATGTCCACAAAGTAGAAGGCACACAGCCAATTAAAGTAGAAGTTTATTGTGTGAAGTTGTATCAGCGTAAGAAAGAGCAAGTTAACAGGAAAGAAAATTCAATATTCGCCGTAAAAGATTTGAAGACTTTGGAAAGCCTGCAGAACTATCAAGACGAGGAAGGTTAGGAGAGGATTGATTTTTTCTTACTAATGTCCACCCAAATCAAGGCCAACTGCCAATTAATGTAGAGGTTTATTGTATGGAGTTGTATCAGCGTAAGAAAGGCCAAGTCGCATATTTCACAGTAAAAGTTTTGAATACTTTAGAAGGCCTGCAGTACTTTCAAGACAAAGAAAGTTTGGAGAGGATTGATTTTTTTACTAATGTCCACCCAATGCAAGGCCCACTGCCAATAATTTTAGAGGGTTATTCTGTGGCGTTGTATAATCGTAAGAATGGGCAAGTTAATAGGTAAGAATATCTGATATTTCGCCGTAAAAGGTTCGGCTAAGATTGATTTTTTTCTTATTAATATCCACACAATTCTAGGCCCACTGCCAATTAAAGTAGAGGTGTATTGTGTGGAGTTTTATCAGCGTAAGAAACAGCATGTTTCATATTTTACCGTAAAAGACTTTAGAAGGCTTGCAGTAATCTCAACACAACGAAAGATTAGAGTGGATTAACTTTTTCTTACTAATGTCAACCAAATTTAAGGCCCACTGCCAATTAATACAGAGGGTTTTTATTGGAGTTGTATCAGCGTAAGAAAGGGCCAAATAGCAGGAAAGAAAATTACATATTTCGCCGTAAAAGATTTGGAGACTTTCGAAAGCCTGCAAGACTTGAGAGTCCTGCAGGCTTTCGAAAGTCAAATCACGGTCAAATCACGCTGAAAACACCGGTTCTCGTTCGATCACCGAAGTTAAGCATCGTAGAGCCAGGTCAGTACTTAGATGGGGGACCGCTTGGAAACACCTGGTACTGTAAGCCCCCAAAGTCCAACCCTTACCTCACAGTCGGTGGGGGTGTGTGTAAACGGTAGTGTCAGAGCTATGCCGCCCAGAACTTCGTTCCTGGTAGGGCCACCCAAGGCGGACAGGTCTGACACACACGCCGGCTAACAAGGGCTCTGGTGAAAATCCAAGGAGCGTCTGCATCGGCAACCGGTGGCTTCTGGTCGTTCCTGTCTCTGCGTCTGTGGGAACCCCGCGGCAAGCAAGAACGTTATCCGAGTAGGCCTGGGTACCCTACTTCTGTAATTTATCCCAAGAATCTTCTTCTCATAACAGGAAGAAGCCGGCTCAATCCGCCCAGGGTGAATGCCGCATCAGTACAGTACAGTACAGAACTCTCAAGTCGAGGAAGGTTTGGAGAGGATTGATTTTGTTCTTACTAATGTCCACAAAATACAAGGCCCACTGCCAATTAAATTATTGATTTATTGTGTGGAGTTGTGACAGCGTAAGAAAAGGCAAGTTCCATATTTCGCCGTAAAAGATTTGAAGACTTTAGAAGGCCTGTTGTTTTAACACAAGGAATATTTGGACTGGATTGATTTTTTTCTTATGAATGTCCACACAATACAAGGCCCACTGCCAATTAAAATAGAGGTTAATTGTGTGGAGTTGTATCAGCGTAAGACAATTTAACAGGAAAAAAAAAAAATTTTCGCCGTAAAATATTTTAAGACTTTGGAAAGCCTGCAGTTTAAATGGCCGTGTGTCTTGTATTGCGTGGAAATTAGGAAGAAAAAATCAATACTCACCAATCATACCTCGACTTGAAAATACTGCAGGCCTTCCAAGGGCTTCAAATTTTTTACGGTGAATGATGGAACTTGCTCTTTCTTACGCTGATACAACTCCAATCAATAAACCTCTAGTTTAATTGACCGTAGGTCTTCTATTGGGTGGACATTCGTAAGAAAAAGATCAATTCTCTCCCAACCTTCCTCGACTTAAAATTACTGGAGGCCTTCTAAAGTCT